TCCATCATTGAGTTCTTTGTCTAAAGTCCATCAACAACAAGATCTTTAAGGGCAGTGAGTTAGTCATTAATTCACAACAAATACAACATTGCCAATTTGATTAATCCACCTGCGGCAATCTTCAATTAAATTAAGCCAAGAAATGGATGAATGGAAGCGAATTCTCCCGAAACTCACTACAAGAAAAGATACCTTCAGGCAGAATTCTGCCAACAAATACAATATTTGGCGACAAAAGCTTTCCCAGGAAAGGCTTATAGCAATGAGATGATTCGCTTTTCTACTTGTCGATAGTATAATGCACTTCTTGTAAGCCAATGAACACTTTGTAATAACAAGAACAAGCAATAAGTTGATTTGTTATATAATTAATTATTCTCAGTTACTTAAGTCTAGACAGAGGATTAAAAATAGAAGTTGGTTTTCTTGTATCATTATGTAATGAACAATTGAGAAGTGATAACAGAAGAGCTCATTCTATTTCTCTCAATTCTCTCTTTCTTTTTCCTTTCGGTATTGTATTTTTTTATATTCTGGTTGATATGAAGATAAACTCTGTAACAATTCAAGATTTTAACAATTAATTTTTTTTTTCTTTTTATGGTTCTTGTTTATTAAGTTCTGCACTAAGCTGCAAAATGGTTTGTACATAGAAATACTGCAATTGATTGAAATGTAAGTTGGTTATATGTTTTTTTGGGTTTAATGAAAAGTCTTTGAGTATGTCTTATTGATCATGTAGGAACGTGTGGCCTCTGCGTGAAGAAGTCGTGGAACTTCACAGCAGGAGCCTTGATTTCAACATCAGTCTCCACCTTACCAGAATAAGACGTTTTTGAACAAAAACGTTATGCTCCAAGTCCAAGCCGGATTAAATGAGGAAATAAATAAATGACAACAAAATAAGAAGTTTCGTCGCAGTGGTGAAGAAACACCTAGGCTCACTGGCGGACCCAGCACATGCCTATTGTGGGCAGCTGCCCACACTTAAGTGTTTTCTTCACCCATCTAGCCAAACACTTTGCCAATAAAAACAAGACACTTTGCTAATATTTTGCATGCAAAATCCCCACTCAACACTCTAAATAAGTAAAGCCTTCAAGGTTTTAGCCCAAAACCTCTCCTATATTGAAAATATCAAGGCCCAAGACTTAATAAGATGTGGTCCAATATATAAAGCCTTAGATTTTGGCCCAAAATCATATATTAAAAAATTATTGAAATAGATTATGTGTTATAATATATATCGTATTACTATGAAAACCTAGACTTTGTAGGAGTCAGCTATGAAATTGTTTTTTACGCCCCCAGATGAACAAAAGTCTGAGTCCGCCATTGCCTAGGCTCTTACACTTATATAGTAGTGATGGAGCCATATCATGAATATACAGGTCACATTGTTTTCAGTTTTACTATTTATTCTCCATTTTCAAACCACATGGATCTCTATTCTATCTCCAAAAAACAAAAAAAACAAAAAAACCACATGAATCTCACTTCAATTATTTATGTATTAGTTGTTGTGAGTGAGGTCCGTCAAACCCCACTATAATAATTAAAGACAAAATACTAATCTTAGCATGTCGGTAATGTGTGTGACTAATTTCAAATATAATTAGACATCTGAAATCAAGAGTTGTTTCGTCCAAAAGGAGTCTAGATTTTTTTATTGTGAATATGATGCTTATGTGCGCCCACAAACTACATTATTTCAAACTTCCATTTGATCTTCAGTTGATTATTATTCTAATGTTTGCCCTAAATTCTAATCAAGTCTAAAGCTAAAACATTACCGTGTTGTTTTTAAGTTGAAACAAAATACCAACACACAAAAAACCACTAGAAGATCCTATTTCGATTTAAGAAAGAGAGCAGGTAAAACATTTATTGCATATGTTATCATTTGTGACATATCTCAGATATAATGTTTGGAAGGTGATTGTTATTTGTTAGGGGGAGACAGCGATCGTGACAGGTAAACAACTTTCTAAATGCATTTGAATTCTATGAACCAAAATACGTGGAGCTTTGGGGCTTTGTGATTAGAGCATCTTCAAGGGAGATGAATTTAAATTTAATGGCTGATATGGCAATTTAACATATTGTAAAACTCTTTATCCAACCGAGATGTCAAATATACATTTTATTTTATTATTTTTAAAGGTAAGTGGGCTCGGTATTTAAGAGTAAAATATTAAATAGGGTTAAAAATTGTACATGGAAGAGGAGAGAAGGAAGCGGGCCCAGCATTAAAATAATTAAAAAAAGTAAAAGACGTCTCAACATGTGGGCTGTCATTTTTGACAGCAAAAGTGAAGGACGTCAATCCAGCTAGGATTTGGCATCACGGTTGGAGGGCTTAAAATGTCTTTTTTTGGGGTTAAAACTTGCCACGTTGAAATTGACATTTCGGTTGGAGATGCTCTTACACAGCTATACACTCCACCCAATTGTCTACTGCGCAGATCTCACGGCCTGGGTTTCTGGGCCGAGGGGATATGCGTTGACACGCGGCTTCCTGCTTTTGGGTGCGGTGCGGTTGTGCGCAGGCATGCCAGCACGGTCTACCGTGCGTCGAGATGGTTGATGTGGATAGAATGGTTAAGTGGTGCGCCTGTTTGGACTCGTCTTCTAATCAAACGATTGTAACCGAGAGAGGAACTAATCTCGGCTGTTAGGTTCACGGCCTGAGCTACAAGGCCGTTTAGTGATGGTGTTGGTGGATTTTGGGCGGTGCTCCTGCGTGCTGCTCATGAGGGAGCGACGGTCGTATGATATATGGGGTGAATGAGCGAATAACAAGGATGATGCTCCGGCGCCTTGAAAATCAAGGGTCGTATGATATATTGATGAATGAATTTTCCTTATAGTCTAACACTACTCCTAGGAAAACAAGTAAAGATATTGAAAGTGCATTACAGGAAAATATAAGTTGCTCCGTGGGAGGCTTTGGTTTGGTGTTTGAACCTTTTGATCGTAGTTTGAGCCTTGTATTTATAGGAAGGGCTCTGGAGGAGGAATCGAGGCTGAAAACCTGCATGGTGGAGCCTGATCAGAGCAAGTGGGTAGTCTAATCGACATTTGGGATCGTGAAGCATGGTGGTGTGACTCCATAAATCTTA